GGAGGATCGGCAAAGTTAAGCCGAGGAGCCTTAGATCTGGCTTTTCTGGCTATTAGAGTCCAAACTCTACAAGGCATAAAGGCATCTTTGCTAAGAACACACCCTCCACATGGACTTCCCGGTGTATCTGGTCTTGCATACTCAGGGAGCTTTCCTGTGTCAAAACTTGGCATTGAAGACGAAGGGTTTTCGGGATTAAAAATGGAGGTGTATGCTTATAGTTCAATCAAGGCCAGAAGTGCAGTGGACTCGGCTTTGCCGGCTGTTGTCTTGTCTTTGCGTATTCGTAATCCTACATCTAACAGGGCTGAAGTATCGTTACTTCTTAACTTACCACTCGGGGAACAGCCAGGTATGTATATGATCGATACAACTATACACTTTATAATCCTTTTAATTCAATGATGGTCGCACAATTTTGTCACATAGATGCGATGATCCCTTACAAAACTCTGATGTTTTATAATAGCCGACTTGCGAATTACGCATCAATAGTCACATACAAAGGAATCAAGACGAGGCGTCGTGCTTTTTTGTGAAAAATKTATTGTCTTTAGRACGGCGCCTCGTCTTGATTCCTTTGTATGTGACTATTGATGCYTAATTCGCAAGTCGGCTATTCAAAAAGCAATTCATTAACACCCGAAGTATCAAGTCTGACCAAATATATAATGAATATTAATAAGTATAAGTGCAATTAAATTTATGCCCAAGATACTGTTGCAGTAACAGTTGTTTAAAAAGGGATAAATTTAACACCGTAACACCTACTTTTTTACGGTGTTAAATTTATCTTTTTACACAACTGTTTCTTTAGAAACACCGACGCAGCTCACACTAGTTTACTGCTAGCTAGTTCCAACCATTTTGACCATAAGATTGCTGTTAAGGTCATTCAGAACCTGTAACYAGCAACCTTAAATACATTCACTGCACTTACTTATGGCAATTACTTCTACTTTTAGATACTGCACGAAAAGGCGGCAARTTTAAAGTGATACAAGACATCTCATCAGCGGCAGCTTGTGCGCAACTTTGCCGAAACAATAACAAATGTATGGCTTGGTCACTAGTGAAGACATCGTGTAAACTAAAACACAAGATGCCTCTTCATGCTTACAAAGAAGGWGTGACATCAGGTAACAGCAAACACACATAAGAATTAACTAACAGAGAACTGATTTCTCTGCTAACACCGGTACGGATAATCAGCTAATTTCTAAGTGTCAAGTCATGTAAAGATTTATGGGGGAATGTGGAATAAATAAAGGACTGACTACTCTTGTTTTGCGCCCTGTGTTATGCAATAACCGAGTTCTGTTATATAAGCAATCAACTTTCCATTAAATTCTAATAGGAGTTAAAAACCATTGGGTAAGAAATTATGGGAGACTGACTTGCACCCGGCCTGGGAGCTACTCAAATAGTGGGAACACAACTATAATGTGGGTTGCTAATGACTACGATCACCATGACGGCTATGGCAACGGTTACTATGACGAGAGACAACAGAACAAATTGAGGTCTAACATGAAGCAATACAGTAATAATAACAGCATTGATAARAAAGGCTACTACTACAACAACTACAATCYKTATTACAACAAACAAAGACGCAGTTCAAACGATAATCAACGACACAAACCAAATTCACACAAAATCACATTCTCGTCCACTGTTTCTGACGACATTGACCTAATATGGAAGTATTTCGCTAAATATGGTCATCTTAGGAATATGGCTTTCAAGGAGTCGGGATTTCATGGTAGTGCTYCTGGGAAGATGAGCCTGGGACCTGGAGAGGAGGGTACCATATCGRTGGTAATGTCCTGGTTCTATCCTTATAGGGACCATGCAGGAGAATATGTCGGCCAATATTATAGGTAATAATGATTTTTTAATATATACATTAGCGGACTGATGATGATAGATAGCTCACAAAAAATGATAGAAATGGTTTCTCATTTGGCTTTTATTCACATATTAATGGTGTGAGAATTGCTGTCATCTAAATCTTGGAAATACGTTTTGCTCACGTCCACTAGAGCATCATGTCGAGATGTATTGCATTGAAATTTTATATGTGTATGTATTTATGTTTTATCGCATTTTTTTATTAAGAAACATTTTTAAGTCGAGCGAAGATGTAGCATTCCACACGAAACAAAACCTTCCCAAGATCCTAGACGAGCTGCAAATGTGGCGTGATAATATGACACCATCAAACAAAGACAGTGACGAAGTAAAGCCTTCGCTTCCTGATTGGCTACAGGATATGCTTGTCAACAGTCTTAGCTCTTGGCGTATAGGATTCTGGGTAGCCGATGGACGATGGAGGCAGTGGGAGACCTTTGACTGCAATGATGTCGATTCTGTTCATAATGACTTTCAAAGAGAARTACCTTACATCTTGTTCTTTCCAGGTAAAAGTATTCTATTATACTGGTTAACAAAATATTCAACGTGATCTTTGACATGCCGGACGATACTTGTGGAAATATTACACAGACTTTCCGTTCAAACTTCTACTGAAGGACAATTATGACTTAAATACGGAGACTCTTAGTTTCACAATTATTTATAAATATAAAATAGTGAGGATTTACATGGGCACGCGAAAATACGGATTTAATCTTCGAGTAATGAAAAGATCTCTCACGAGTGAGCGTAGCTTTGCGAAAGAGAAAACGGGATAGGTATCTCGTAGATCATAATTATTATATGTTATACAACTTTTCAGTAAAATCGACTGCGTCTCGTMCGTACTTTTTTGTTCTCACTACATTTTGACGTCATCTGTGTATCTATTAGAGTACACACGCACGGAAAAATGAGATCTTTTTGTTAAATATACAATATTTAATAATATTTTCTTTTTTTTATGGTTTAATGTTTTCTGAAAAAGTTATKAAAAAGCTAAAAGGAGAAAGTAGAGGTTGAAGTTTTATGCAAATATATCCGGGTGGTTTTGGATGTTTGAAAGTAGCAAGATTCACATAAAACGAAGGAAGAGATTAACGTAGTACATGCGAGTGTCATGTAAGYCAGTGTCTATCAACGACTAACAGTCTGCTTTCAATAAGGTCTATTGGAGAATGTAGTTCGCGCGTGGGCCAGTTCTCAGCACGAAAGTGGTTTGATCCTTGAAGCCTTACAAGGACAGTACGGATGTTGGTCGAAAACAAACAAACTCGATACCGTTGGTGGACGGTACAACATGGCGGACGTAAATCCAGCTTTTATTACACAGGTCAGTAGTCCAGGAATCACTTAGAAATTACATTTACTCAATAGCATCTTTAAGTGAAAGGCCGGGGTGATTTACGAGAATTGAAAAAAATACTAGGAATTGTTGCTGTGTCCTTACTTCCCGTTTTTTATTTTTTATTTTTTGCGCTACAAGTTGCCAGTAAATGCTCAGTTACGGTGAAAAAAAAAAATGAAAAGAAAAGAATAAATGAAAAGAAAAAAAGAAAGAAAAAAAAAACAATAAACTTTAATAGAAACTTAGTTGCGCGACAATTTGTGTGGTTTTGCATTTAGTATATTGCGGACTTAATGAAAAGCACAAGTGAAAACAAGGCGAATAAATTTCCCTCATCACAAAAATACAACATAAGACTCATTTATCTTTTATTCTCACCCATTACTGAAATAGCATGGAAATTTAAGACTAAAAAATTCATTGAATGTCCTTAATCCGTGCAGGTATATCACCTCTACAGATGGGCTGGCAAAGACAAGTTACTACAAGAGTTATGGTCAGCGGTTCGCAAAGCAATAATATGGATGATCAAAGGTGSAACCGAAGGCACCGGACTCCCATTTCGCATGACAAACACTTATGACATTTTACAGCTACAGAATTATGACCATTCGTTCTATAARAGTGTCATGTATTTGCTCGGGCTCAGAGCAGCAGAGGAAATGGCAGAAATCTACGAAGATGAAGATCTGTTGTTTCTTGTTCGAGATTCCATTCTGAAGGCAGGCAGGAAAATCGATGCTRTATTCTGGGATGACGAAAGGGGTTATTATCATGCTTGGTGGGACCGAGCGAAAGGCTCACCACCGTGGCTGATGGCAGACTCTCTCTATGGACAGGTACTGTGTACGGCCGCGTATGTCTCTATCTGATATAAACACAGTGTGAGATAGAATACACATTGAAACAAGTCCAGGAAAACAAGCACAGCGAGCACGTGTTTCTATTGTTTTCCTCTACAGTGTTTATATTAGAGGACAGAAACACAAGTGATCTGTTTTTGTTTTCGACCGTTAAAGCGCCAAACGGAGATATTATAATAGAGCAAGCACTATATCGCAACATTTTACAAAAGATAAATAATCAGAATACAATAATCGTCGTTATCAAGGAATAGCTTGGGAAGTACTTCATTTTGTATAATAATTGTTTAAAGACTTTAAAAACTATGATTAATTTGAAGACCAGAAGGTTCCTCAAAGAAGGTTTAACAAAAATACAAAACACAACGGTGAACGTTTAATTCAGCAAGCCTAGCCTGCGCTCTTTCACTAGAGTCGACAAGAGATATCGATTGTCTTACTGAACCAAAGTTTACTAAAAAAAGAAAAACTGAGAAGAAATGTCAAAAAATATGGAAAGCCAGAAAATAYATAAAGAATGAGACTTTTAGATTGATTAACAAAACTGGAAAATGATGTGGGCGGAGAGAAGGAAGATATAAACTGAAGAACTATAATTATCTTTAATAATTCACCGCATTGTACGTGAGTGTGTTCTTTCTTTTTCTTTAGGTTTGGGCTTACACTTTAGGACTTGGGGACCTYCTTCCTGTTGCTAAGATGCGGTTACACCTTGAAAAAGAAGGCATTCTAAACGACACACCGTACGGTTTGCAGGTAGTAACAAAAAACATCGCAAAAATCAGCCAAAAAATATTTAAGAGAGACCTGGATGACTTCGAGACAGAGGACAATATAGTACATGAAGAAGGTCTGCAATACCCTTACATGTGGACCACTATGAATGGAGGTGGCTACTGGAAGTCATTTAATGAAGAACCTGGAAGCGAACCAAATCAAATTATCGAAAGGCCACAACCAAACTATTTTTATTCGTCAACAGTCGAGCAATATCGRCCGACGAGTAAAGTCGAAACTGCTTTAAATGGAAAATTAGAATATTCTCCAAACATTTTTGCTTTTTACACAAACATTCGGCCTAGTAACTATGCAGMMGTGCAAGYTGTAGATAGACTGGCAGCTAATGACGCCACGGCGGCCAATAATTACCTTTATACTAATGACTACCATAGCAGCAACAATGATGATAACAATAATGACAAATATATTAGCAATCATAGAAATAATAAGAAAATTATTAATAGTGATAACAAAAAGACTATRTACGGTAAGATCCCTAGAAACACGAATTGCTCATTATTGCACAAAGACTTGATGTTTGGTTCAATTTGGATGGGAGCGAGTCCAGATTGGACYACATTACAAATACACTTGGGGCTAGATCCCAGCAAAGCATTAGAACAGGCACGCAAATCTCTTAACCATTATAGAACAAAACTGAATGACTTATGGAATATCCATGGCTTGACTGCGGGCTCAGGTCATGGTCTAGATGGCCAACCGTGGTGTACTTCTCATTATACATTTCATATGGTATTATGGCACATCCCACTAGCTTTGTCTGGTCAGCAGTATTCCATCATAGAGCGTGCGCTACAATTCAACCCCAAGTTACGGGTGCCATATTCGTTACCATTCTTCGTTCCTTACGCTAGTGGGACTATCGAGGCGGTTCATGGTCGSGCTYGAGTGTCATTTACCTTGACAGTAACACATGGATACCTGGTTTTGAAACAGCTAAGTATTTCAGGGGTCGATTGGCCGGGAACGGCTTTGAAACTCGAAAAAGGTGAAAGTACAACTTGGTCTTAAAACAAACATCTAACGAAGTGAAAACAAGACAAAAAATATGCTTCAAATTACGAGAAACCTTTCACAAGTCACAAACTGACATGCTTTATGTGAAAGCGTACCCAACCGGTTCTGGGTTGTTACTTTACGCCTTCTTAGGATCCACTTAGGATCCACTTCTTATTTCCAGACGAAATCAGTATCAGAAATGGAGTGATTTTGTATCACATTGAAAATAAATGCTTTGCAACAAATATATCAACAAAAATTGTACTTCATGAATAAATGCTCTTTAATATTCTTTATCACTTGTTAAACTACAAATCATATCCTTTATGGTTGCACGAAGGGTGGATAAAGTAATTCACTTCACAGAATGTGTAACTATGAATCTTATCTTGTGAATAGCTCTATTCTCCCTTCGCACAACCATCCAATCAGGTGGAACAAAAGTAATATTTTGGGTTTCATAATTTCTCTGGTGAACATGTGTCATGTTCATGTCGCCAATGTCAACATCCCTTCATCGCGTGGACTGACTTATCAAGGACCTTTCCATTGGGGCAGCACACTTGTGATATTGGGAAATATTCGGCTTTTCCATGACAACAGGAACCGAAAGAAACTTTTCCCAGACAACATGTGTACCTTCTTGGATCGTAGCCCTTGTTTCCACAGCACTTTCCAATAGAGGTTCCAACATATCCAACGTTGCCTTGACAACAAACATTTTCATAGGGATTGTACCAAGTCGTGCCACAACATCTTGCAGCTTTCCAATAAAGATGCCAGACTTTTTTTCC